CCGGTGCCGCGGCGGTGCCAGCGCGTGCGGAAGCGCGGGGGCAGCCGGCCCCACTCGCCATTGTTTGCTGCAGCAGCGCTTCCTTCCCGCTCCGGCGGGAGCGCGGGGGATATCCCGTGCTGCCCGGTGCTTCCCGCGCAGGGCTGCTGCTGCCAGCAGAGCCCTAGGTGCACTGCCCCACTGTGCTGCGCTGCAAAGCGCGCTATGGCTGCAGTGCAGGACCTGCTCTGGGCAGCTGCTCAGCTGCTCTGAGGCAGCACAGTGCGGGACAGGGTGCAGGGAGCCCCAGGGCCGGCGCAGGGACGTGCCAGGATCCCCACGCGGTGCAGGACCGCGGTGCAGTGTAGGCAGTGCGGGGATCTCCATGCTGTGCAGGGTGCCCTGCAGCAATGGGAGTGCAGTGCGTGGAGGCAATGTTGGGTTGCAGTTGCAGGGAGGTGGCGCAGGGATGCAATGCATGGTGGTGGTGCAGGGGGGCAGTGCAGGGACAGAGTGTGGGGATGGCTGCAGGGATGCAGTTTGGGGATAGAGTGCAGCAGCCCCCGTGCAATGTGAGGATATGGCGTGTGGATGCGGTACAGGGATGTGGTGCAGGGATGCCCTGCAGGGATGCTGCATGGCGATGCCATGGGGAGATGCCCTGCAGGGACGTGCAGCAGCTCCCTCCCTGCAGCAGCTCTGATAGCAAAGTGACTCCTGCTGAGCCCCCGGGAATTGGGAGGGGTTTGGGCTCCGCTGGCCCTGTGAGAGGAGCCATCACTGGGCACGTGGGGAGCTGCAGGCTGGCAGGGCCCGGCTGGGGGGGCACGTATGGCGAAGGGTCGTGTGGGAAGGGCTGGGTTGGGGCCGCAGTGCCGGGGCTGTGCCGGACCGTGCCGGGGCCGTGCCGGGCTGTGCTGGCGACTTAGGCGCCTGCTCCCTCTTTCCGCAGCCCCGGGAGAAGGGCAGGATGCGCTTCCACAAGCTGCAGAACGTGCAGATCGCTCTCAACTACCTGAAGCACCGGCAGGTGAGCGGGAGGGCCGCAGCAGCAGCGGGGGGCTGGGGTAGGCGCCCGGGGGCCGGTGGGGACATGCTGCCTCCGCGGCCCCGGTGACGGCTCTGTCCCCACAGGTGAAGCTGGTCAACATCCGCAACGATGACATTGCCGATGGCAACCCCAAGCTCACGCTGGGGCTCATCTGGACCATCATCCTGCACTTCCAGGTGAGCTGCATCCCACACCGGGCCGAGGGGCTGGGGGGCAGCCCCGCGGCAATGAGCCTCGCTGCACCGCACGCCGGACGCGGGCACAGCTGCCCTGTGTGTGTACATGTATGTGTGCGTATGTGTCTGTGTGTGTGCATGTGCACACATGTGTGTATGTGTGTGTGCACATGTGCATGCAAGTGTGTGCATATGTGTCTGTGTGCATGGGCACACATGTGCATATGTGTGTGTATGTGCGTCTATGTGTGTGTGCCCACGCGTGTGCATGTGTGCGTGTGCGTGTGCATGTGTGTTTGCACGTGTGCACACCTGTGCCCTTGTTTTTGTGCATGTACGTGTGTGCACATGCACATGTGTGCACATGCATGCATTTGCACGCATGCATGCCTGTGTGCCCCAGCACAGTCCGCCTGTGGGTTGCACCTCCTTCCGCCGTGTCTGGCTCCTGGGGCCCGTGCAGGAGC